GACCGGCCACAACGGTCACTCTCGTGATCGTTGTGGCCAAAACAGCCCGGGCCGGCTACAACGGCCATAAACGGTCTTTTGACCGTTTGTCCCCAAAAACAGTCAAAAAACAGCTATTTTGTGAGGTTATTTTGGTCATTTGTTTAGGTGGCTGGCTCTATAAATAGAGGGGGGGTTTTCATTTGTTTTTTTCACACCAAAACTCATCTACTTCTCTCTTATACTCTTATACTCTCTTATACTCTTATACTCTTATACTTTCTAATCCTTTCATCAAATGGCTTCCGGATCTGATTATGAAGAGTAAAACCTATCTCCTGATCTTGAAATGAGTCATCCTACTGGGTCTACTCCTACCGAAGTTAATCCCGAATCCGGTGGCGACGAATCTGCACCAAGAGCTCCTAAAAGGCCAAGATCCGATGTGTGGAATTTTTACGAGAAGATCGACGTCACCAAGGATGAGCACGGTAGGATCCTCACTCAGAAGGCTAAGTGTGCGTTGTGCGGCAAGATTTTTCAAGCTCATCATAAGAGCGACACCAACCACCTCGAACGCCACTTAGATAAACACAACAAAGGCCAGACTCCTCAAGGTGATATCCGACAATCTATGATTTCTCAATCCTCCTCTTCTGATAGTCTCGGTAGTTGGAACTATGACGCTGCCAGAGCCAGGAAATGCGTAATCAGGTTTATCATTCTTAAAAACCTTCCTTTTAAATTAGTAGAAGATGATGAATTTGAAGATATGTTTAGAGATGGTTTTTATCCTGCATTTAAAAAATGTTCTCGTCAAACCTGTCAACGTGATATTTTAAAATATTATCAGGAGGAACAAGGAAAAATAATTTCTTATTTTAAAAATTTAAATCGTAAATTTTCTTTAACTTCTGATATTTGGACATCTAGAGCACAAACTGGATATTTATGTATCACAGCACACTGGATTGATAAAAAATGGCAAATGTTTAAAAGAGTTGTTTCTTTTATTATAATAGAAGAGTCACATACTGGTATTAATGTTGTAAATTTAATAATTGAAGAACTTATGAAATTAGAAATTTCAGAAAGAATATTTTTTCTTTCACTAGATAATGTAAGTAATAACAATATAGCTGTTGATTTTATCAGATCAACTCTGTCATTGTCATGTCATAGTGATCTTTTTCATATTAGGTGTATCTGTCATATTTTAAATTTAATTGTTCAAAGTGCATTTACTGAAATTAAACCCATGATAGAAAAGGTTAGAACAGTTGCTTATATGCATAATGCTTCTGAACAAAGACTTAAAAGATGGAAACAATTTTATAAAAGAAAAAATATAAAGCCCAGACTAATTCTAAAAGATGTTGACCATAGGTGGAATTCTACCTATGCAATGTTAAGTGTAGCAATAGAATATAAAGACATTATAACTGATTTTATAAATTATTATGCTTCTAGTTCTAGTTCTGGTAGCACTTATGGAATAACTGAAGATGAATGAACAATTATATGTAATTTAAATAAAATGTTACAAGTTTTTTATGATGCTACAATGTTATTATCTGGCTGTTATTATCCAACCATTACTTTAGCTACTTTACAAATTTTAAATATTCAAATTTTTTTTGGGAAATTTCGTATGGATGATACTTTTGGACCTATGATTTTTTAAATGGAGAGCAAATTTAATAAGTACTTTAGGCCTATTCCTCATATTTTTGGTTTGGAGGTTCTTATTGATCCATGCTTGAAGGATATTGACCTTCGAAGTTTGTTACAATCCTTGTATGGTAATCAGATTATAGACTTAGATGATGGAACCACTATTACTGCTACTACTCATCATTTAGCTATTAGAAATTATTTTCAAACCTTATATGATGAGTATGCAGCTAGACATGGTGTAGCTACACAACAGTCTACAGCTTCGGTTTCTTGGAGCTCATCCCGAGGTAAAAGTATAAGTTTTGATAGGTATGCAATGATACCTGAGCTAACTGGTGGATCTAGACTTGGATCGTCATCATTAGAGGTTTCTGAAATAGATGAATATTTATCTGCTTCTTTAGTTAAATGTCAAAGAAATGCTTTAGATATTTTACAATGGTGAAAAATATATGGATCAGTTTCATATCCTATACTTTCCACCATGGTTCGTGACTTACTAACAGTGCATGTTTCGACGGTAGCTTCGGAATCCGCCTTCAGTACAGCAGGATGTTTGATCGACGACCACAGGACATGCTTATATCCGTATACTGTACAAGCGGTGATGTGCTTACAAGATTGGTGGAGGTACGAGAAGCGAACGCAAGACATCGATCGGATGGCTGGAATTAAAGATAAATTTAAAGAATTGGGACTAGCAGATAGATATAAAAAATAAATAATATTCATCAAATTGTATTTTTTATATCTTAGCTTAAAATTTGTAAAGAATTATTTTGGAAATAGTTGCAAATGATAGTGATATAGGTGAGTAGGTGCCAACCTAGTTGGGATGTACTTATCTATTGTGATGCGATGAATTCCAAAATAAATTTATACTTGTAATTTGTAAATGATTTATTAATTATTAATAAAGAATTTAAACCGGGCCGGGCCGGGCCGGCCCGGAACTCGGCCCGATCGGGCCCGGGCCCGGACCCGGCCCGGGGTACCCGGGTTCGGGTCCGAGCTCCGGTTTTGCCCGGCTCAGGCCGGTCCGGATGGACAGGTCTAATTATGCATGCAAAAAGATACTGGTTACGAAAAAAAGAAAAAGGAGAAAAATCCACAAAAGCCCAAACATCAAAACAGTATTTAGAGGTAATTAGATAGATTTTCGTCTCAATCATACGAACGTGGCCGGTAGCTAGCCCATAACTTTTAATTAGGTAACCCCCAACAACCCAAAACCCCTAGTTTGGGAGGGATCATCCCGTATTTGGCCCATTAATAACTCGGAGCCTACAGGCTACAGTCCAGCTAACGAAAACGACCGCATTTATTCGGGTCGGATGCCAAACCGGCTAACCCGTTAGTTTGTCCCCGGCATCATGCGTGTGGATTTTGGCACGACATTACATCGTTTTGTGGGGATAACCGCGACCCATCCTGTTGATCCCGGACGCGGGCCGGCTCCTCGATAGTCCTTCCTTTATTTCTACCCTCTCTCTTCTCAACAAAAATAATCCAAAAAAACCCCCAAATCTCAGCGATCTCGACTCAAGAATCGCGTAATTGCTCATCGCTGAGGTTAGATTGCTGATCATCCTCTTTGTATTTTCGATTTCGTGGTTTGATTTGCATCGATTTTGCTCTTTGCCGTTGATTCCTGCTCGACGTGTGATCAGATTGTTTTAGCTCTAAATTCTGTACTCGTGTGTTAAAAATTGATTTTTGGGAGCTGCTTTGAGTTCTGGAGATGGGTCATGTTTGATTTCAGCTTGTGAAGATTGTTGATTTTTTTTTATTTTGCTTGTGGAAGCGGATCTGTAGTCTAATTTTTGGGGTGATGTTTTAGTTTTTATTTTTTGAGTTTTGAGGAGACTGTGACGTGCAAGATACTGAGTTGGGGAGCCGTTTGGGATAACGCTTGATACTGGATTCATGTTTAGTTAGCTGGGATGCTTTATGATGTTGGATTAGGTTAAATTGTTGGGAGTAACTTTCAGTGCCTTGGGGTGGGATGGTGGATGGGAACTTAATACCTATTAGCCTGTTACCCTCAGTCCTGGCAATCTAAACCACTACAGAAATATAATGCTCATTTACATTGACCCGGCACTCCCGTCCTAGGATCATTCGTACCTATTATATTTTTTATTTCATGCGCATGTGTGCATGCACACTTGCGGTTGCATATGTGTGGTCAGGTACTTGCCGGGAGATTGGGTTTTGTGTATGCATGAATGGTGTACCCCCCCCCCCCCCCCCCCCCCGCATATGTGTGGCCGGGCACATGCCGGGAGATGTGGCGGGTTTAGTGTCATGCATGAATGGTGTAGCCCCCCCCCTCCTTGCATTGTGTGGTCGGGGTACATGCCGGAGATGTGCAGGTCTAGTGTCATGCATGAATGGTGTAGGCCCCCCCCCCCCCCCCCCTCATTATCCTTTGATTGCTGGGTGGGTGGTTTTTTTTTGGTTTGTTGGTTGGGGGGGGGGGGTTGGGGGTTGGAGGGGGCAGGATGGACATTGTCATCGAGAGTAACTACTCTCTTGAAGACAAAGCTCTTGAACAGACTACTCACCTTGTAATCGATCATTCATTTTACATGCGTGAATGTGTTTCCTAAACACACAAACTTGGTACAAAGTAATAACACTGTTGCATATTCTTTAACTCAGAATTTCAGTGATATAAATATTCTCCAATCTCTTAATAGTGGTAAGATAGCACTTTTTAACGATTAGTGAAAAAGACTACCTAAGCATTTGCCTAGCCCAAAAAGTAATAGGTTTCTGTCTAAGGAGTAGGAGGAGGAACTGGAAGCTGCTGCCTTGAGCCTTATTGTTTTTTAGAAAGAGGTAATGGAAGAGTGGAGTAATAAAGAGAGACATAATGTTTAACCACTTCAGTTTTAGTAAATCAGCTGTTTAATAGTTTCACATCCCACACACACATTCATGCACATATGTTGAAACATACATGATGACATACAAAAAATATGTATTCATATATACATGCACACATACATTATGCACGGACATAAATACATATGCATATTACTATATTAGTATTATTAGAGTGAGAAAGACAAATAGCTAACATAAGTTTTATATTTTAAATGAAAAATGTATTTTTCAGTGTATACACAACTTGTCATGTAAAATTGTAAAGATTATTATTCTTTTCGAAAGCACTAACTATACTAGATAGAAGTTGGAAGCTACATGAATCTAGCGTAATACTCCCTTACCATTTTGAATGACAAGAAACTAACATATTGAAAACGGTGCAAAGTGCCCGTTCGTTCTAGTTAGAGCAAAAAATCAATGGCAACAGGAAATTCGGAGGAAAGGCTCTTGAACCTGAGTTTATCTTTCTATCCCTTATTTGAATGGATGTCATTCTTTTGCAAAATACCATTGGATAATAGGAGTTAAGGCAATCCTCGGATATCTTCATTAGTTAGAGAAATTACTCTGGGCCTTCAATTACTTTCCATCTTGTTCAAATTTAAGACTTCCATAGAGAAATTTTATTTTCTACTCCTAACACATTTTGACTTGATGGAAAATTAATATGACCACAAATATGAACCAAAGTTAAAATATGTTACATAATGACTGCACATCAACTGGTGCATCGTATTTGTAAGGAAGGGTTTTGGAAAAATTTGTATTGGTGCTGGGCATTGTTTTGGAAAAGGTCAATGTTTTCTGAATCATATTGGCTTCAACTACTGTGATTATGTGCTTCTTGATATTTCAAATATATCACGTAGATATTATTGATAGTACTAAAGCTATGAGAGGTTTAGAAAATCCTCTAGCTCGGGTAAAGCTTCATATAGTGTTATGTAGTTAAGCTTTTTGGAGTGATCATCATAGCTCAGTGCCTTGAAAATGATTTTTAGTTGGCTATAAGGATTAAATTGGGAAACCATTTAGAAAAGAGATGTCATGTCATAAGATCTTATGTGGTCATATTCTGGGTTTCAGTGCTGTCAATCAATAAGAAATTGCATGCACTCAGTACATCTCAAGTCACACCCTTAAGATTATCAATTTTTGTCATATATCTAAACAATATATTTAAGATTGACCTCTATTCTGGTGCAATATACCAACAACCATGTATAATAACTTTCATGAATTCAAGATATATTGGACAATTCTAGTTAGAAACTAAAACCTATATGGCTATATCTATAAACAATTTGTATCAACAATGTCATCTTACATCACATGAACATCCTACATGTGTGAAGCTCCAATACTAAACCATGCTCTCTTATCAATGATGGTAGATCTAAACCTTTCATATGTACACCATCAAAATTGGTTGATATCCCCATGTCCGTCTTATACCAATGTAGTCTCACTGTAATGTGTGCCACCACAATTGTAATTCAACCCAAAAAGGTCCATATTTGTAAACACATGTACTCACATAAAATATTAATTTGTAAGTATGGAGACATGTTGAACAGTACTCTAGCACCTTGCCTCTCAAAATCTTTATCTTCCTACTGTACCCTATTCGTAATCCTCTATTCACTTTGAACATCAATGGTGATTGGATAAGTATACCATGAAGTAACTCATACAACACTTAAGAGTACAAGTTAGAACTATCGTCTTCTATAGGTATAGAAGTCTAATGTAACAAATAACTTTTTGCTGGGTCCTGCTAAAATTAGTATAAAAATCGTTAAGAAATATTCTTTGATAAAATCAAGTAGACAACCAAAAATCTGTAAAATTGCTAAATCAAATAATAAATCAATAACTATATAAAATGGCACCTATTTAGCATGCGATTAGTCTGGTTATATTCAGTGGTAAAAACTTTATCAGTTTTCATAGATTTTATACCATCAGCAAATCATGATAGGCCAGTTAAAGATCGTTATAATAAACAACATAGTGAAAATAGTATCGTAAAGTAAACTGTTAACTTCATGTACAAATCTATAATTTTCACATAAAATTAAAATTTATCCATACAAAGATCTAATAATTCTGTTGAGTTTTGCCGAAACAGCTCCAATGGAACAGAGTAATTGCTGAATTGTTCTTTTTCCATATCTATTTCATTTGTTTACTAGACTCATATGTTTAAACAACTAAACACTGATGTACCTTGTTGGTTTATCTGAATAGATCAAGTATTGTAAATAATCTGTACCAGATGAAAATTGAGTATGTCCCCTGAGTCCAATAAATCTCCACGAATGTTTCTACTGGAATTCCATAAAACCACTCAGACATCTCTGAGACCAATATATTCCGGATAGAGTCTTGCCATCAAACAAGAATAAGCTTAAACATTTAAAGTCCTAAAATGAAAACGTCTTTTTTCCGAGAAAATCTCAGATTCAGGAATTCAAAAGAGGAGAAACATCAGCACAAACATGAGCTCTTAGTTTTCTTTAAAAGCACCTATGATAATACTAGCCTCCTAAAATTTAATAATAGAAAGTTTAGGTTTAAGGCATCTAACAATTCACTGGATTTTAGAATTTAGAGGATGGTAGGTGAACTTCCAAGAGTCTCCTTATCTTTTTACCTTTCCTTTTTGCCTTCAGTCAAATGGCGAATGAATATGGGAGAAGCTCTGTTGGCATTTCTTAAGCCATGTCTGTAATGGTTGAAATATTTTTTCCAGTCCCTAAGTTGTCTTAGATTCAGTTTCAGGTTCTTGTTGGAACATACTTTTGCATAAGTGTAATATCATTTAAGTAAGCATCATGTTTGAATTTTGGTTAAGATGTTTCATGTAAATAAGCTAATGCCCCTTATTATATTTCACTAAAAATTGGGAAACTTTCAGTTTTTTATGAATGAAAACACAGCTTTGTACTTTAGTAGAAAATAAAGATTGTTGGGATTCACTTCAATTTTTAACTCCAATTGGTAAAGTCTTTAGGAAACTTTATAATAAATATTCTAATTTACTATTTGATTAAAAGAATAGATGGCATGTAGAATATCATTTTTGACTTTTTCTTAACATCCTTATCAGCTGAAGCTTTAAGCTTTAGTAACTGATTTGTCAATTCATACTAATATCACATAAATGAGTCGACTACTAGATGACCCTGACTATCACAGTAACAAGTTCCACTGCTATTAAAGTGAAAAGTTCAATTTTGGCATGAGGCTATTCTCCTGATAGGTTCCATCTTTAACTTAAGGTGTGAGCTCATCCTTACAGATCCAAAGAGACTTTATTATAGTTGTTGTCTGCTCTTCTATATGGATGTTTTTCGTTGGAAATTTTGGATGTGGCTGTAATTATCAAGGATTAAACTTTAAGCATATTCGCTCACATTTCATCTTTTCTAATTTTTAGTTACTCTATAATCACAGAAATCCATGGTTCCTTATATTGGTCTTGGAAAATGTATCAGATTGCTGGTTTGTAATTAATCCCTTGTCACCTTATGTTATGATGTAACTGATAATCTTTTGATGTCATTCAAGGATCACCTTGTTATATGATGTTTCTTAGATTTGTAACTTAGTTATTTTTTATTTTATTCAATATTATATTAATGTAGTCTTTTAATCTTCTGTATTTGCAGGCCAGACTTAGCTTGGTCATGAGAGTTAGTCTTCCTTTTCGTAATAGTGAAGAAATGTACATCATTGATTGATATTTTATCAGGGGAGAACATATTTAAGGCATGCCTTCTCTTCAGTTATTGCCACTGACAGAGCATGGGCGAAATATATTTGCCTCCAGAAGGTAGAACATATTTCCTTTAAGTTTGCTTGTCTGCATTGTATTTCTAGCACCACATCATTCATGTAGGAAGGACTAATTAAAGTAATAATTTTATGAAAAATAAAAGTTACTTGAATTTGATTAGCTCTATAGTTAATCATCAAGACACGTAAAGCAATATGTAGATGCTATTAACTGGCAAACATTGGAAATCACCTAGAATCAAAGTTGTCCTGTCAAATATGATCCTCGACATTCTGTGATATTTAATAATGTGATTCGGTTGAAGTTTCTGACATACAAGTGATCCTTATGTGGAGGTGATATCTGTCTGGATTCGTGCCTGTTTGCGAGGTGGGCTTTTGTGGAAGTACTCAAAGGTAAGCTTGGCCAGGACCCACAACTTTGAGTGATATGATTGTGGAACATGCAAAGACAAACAAAGAGCAATTGGTGTCTTATTGTCTGTGATCCTTATGTGGTAATTTATATAGGTTTTTGTAGTGGTTCCAGCAAGAGTATATGCGGAAGCATGCTACTTATATGGTGTTCTGGTTATTTTGGTCGCACTGCAAGGACGTGATGGTTTTTTTAGCCTTGTTTTGTGGCTAGCATCAGTGGTCCTTGAAGCTATTTAACTCTGCATAATTGACGATGCATGAGTGCCTAGTATTTTTTAACACGGTCTTCTGGAATTGACCTAGTTGGGCCTTATTCGTTATTTGGGAGTATTTGGGAGGATCATTCATGAGATTAGAGCATGCTATTATTTTTTCATTCAAGGCTAGGAAAGCCAACCTGTTTCCCCTTTCTTTGGCTGCAGGGGTGGTTGGGGACGGGAAGGACCTTCTTCCCTTATCGCTAGTCCTGAAGCCTTATGACCACTTCTTTCTTACTCAACCATTTTTTGTAACTTGCTTCCAGCTTGGGGTGGTAATGGGGTCTGATAATCTGATAACCTGATTCTATGATTCAAGCCCAAACGGTTTATCGGATCTAGATACATATTCTAGAAACAGACCCTTTTCCTTATTAGATCTAGACTTGCTTCTCAAAAATTTAAGCCCGACAGCCAGAGAAGTTTATTAGATTAGTTTACTTGCTTCCAACTAAAATACATCTTTCCTACCCAAACATTATTTGCCTTCGTTTGTGTAATCATACTTGGATATGAATGATATTGTCATAGATAGAAATTAAAGTAACAATGTGAACAAAAGAATTACAAGTTACTATCTGATTCTTGATCAAATTTGATATATTCATGAAGAAAAGTATTGGATGATGCACAATTCAAATCAAAATCTTTGGATCCTCTGGTGGATAATAAAATTTCTTAGTGGATCTAGATTTGCAACTTAATCTTATGAGATGTGATCCAAATCTGACCTGTTGCAATCCCAACAGGTTTTGCGGGCTGTCAAAATTGAGATAGCTGAATTTATTATATATTTATACCATGGAAGTTTGGAACACGGAAATTAAAATACCAAACTATCTATATGATTGAAGCTAGGTTTTTCACTTTTGGGGAAAAAAAGGAAAAAAGGGTTGATTATTGATTTCAGTGTGTAGCTAGATAAACCGTACAAAAGGGCTAGAAATTTCTGTTTAAAGCATGCTCAACTTGCTATTACCTTGAATGTTTAAAAAGAAGGAAGCACATACATTCCAAATGATTGGATATATCACCAGCCATAAGAGATGTTGTGAGCGTGGGACACTATAGCAAACCACAACCCGGGTTCAACTGTCCTGGAACACGGTACACAAGCGTATTTGGTCGTGTTCCAACGCGACCCAGTTTGCTAACTTAGATGACATGATTTAGAATTCAAATTAGTGAAACTTTTGGAAAAAACAACGATTGTTGAAATAATAAACAACAAAAAGAGCATACTTCAATCGCAACTTAAGAATTCTTTTACCATTACTGAACCTTCAATTTGACTCTTGCAGAAAATTGTACATTAAGAAACTCAGATTCATATACTAAAAAACCGGACCTAAAGCTTACCATTTTCCCTAACATACCATATAAGCTACCCCATCGTACTTGATTCTACATAAGTGGCGTACCACACTCCCGTTCCGTCTCGTGAATTGGAACGAACTTCGTTCCATGCAAGGTTTGATTTGGAGTCAATATTACAGGGTTGATAGATTTACATTGGATCAATGTTTGGTTAGTTAAAGTTAAACTAATATTGTATATGAACTTAGATTCAAGTTTCACTTTATCCAATTGTGGGTAAACTCTGGTTAATAATTGTTTTAGCATTTATTTTTGGATATGTTTCGATTCCTTTTTGTTACTAAAACTAGAACCATAACAGACGGGAAAGTTTGAAACTTGCAATGAGCAAACTCAGATTTTTGGTGGGACCAAACTCTGTCTAAAGGTCATGTAAATATTGTAAATTACATTCTGTGAAGTAAAGGCAATTGTGTTGTGAATCTACATCATGTCTGAACCATGTTGAACGTGACTCAACCTGCCGTGCGAATTGCGATTACTGGCTTATCAAACTCTGTTCTAAAGGTCATGTAAATATTGTAAATTACATTCTGTGAAGTATGGGCAATTGTGTTGTGAATCTACATCATGTCTGAACCATGTTGAACAGGACTCAGCCTGCCATGCGAATTGTGATTACTGGTTTATCGTACACTTCATAGAATTTGTTGACATTATTGAGCTGGTGTGTTATGTAGCGTCAAGTCTGTATAAGTGTATCTATATTGGCTTCTCTTAGGTTAGTGAGCATCAATTTTAGAGGACGTGGGAATTCTGGATTTTTAATACAGTTTTAAACGACTTGTTATGACTAAACCTTGATCTGCAGTTACAAGACGCATCAATAAAAATACTAAATTCTAAATTTCCTATAAATAATCTATGTTGTGATTTGTTATCGATAGAACTAAATTTTCTGAGTTTCTCAACTTGTAACACGTTCATACACACATCAACCTATTGATCAAGTTGCTTTAGATCACCAATTTAATGTTTAACCGAATGCGAAAAATTAAGATGTGCGTTAAATACCGAGAAATCTGTGCTGGTGCAGTTTTATCTGAGGGATTGACAGATCCTGAAGAATGATTCATAAGAAAATAAATGGATAATGCTGAAATGATTTTGAAAAAGAGTCAACTAGTAGAGTAGTTAGACCAATATACGAGTAGGTGATGAAACAACTGTATTTATGTGACTGGAATTTTTTTCCCTTATTTATGGGGGATGTAAACCAATGATGGATCACATGGAGAAAAAAATCTGCACAAAACATGTGTAAAAGGTTTGTTTTGGTCATTGTCTTGGTAAATATTATCCACTTATCCTTAATAGATCTGTGGTTGTTCAATCTTCAAGGTATGCGGAACTATCTTGTGCAAGCCTTTTGTTCCTATATTAATTTTGTTTGTCGCGCCATTGAATTCGTCTAACCATTAATTTCCTACAGGAGAACACTTGTTACGGTCACAGGTGCTCTAGTTGCTGGTGGAACCGTTGCATACCTGAGGTCTAGACACCAGAAAAGGTTGATCAGACCTGACTCTTCTGCTTCTGATGTTGCATCTGAGTCTGGGAAAGGAAAATTGAGTCAGAATGGTGTTGATGACAAGTCCATCAGGAAGTCAAGAAGGAAAAGGAGTGGATTAAAATCTCTACATGTTTTAGCTGCTATCCTACTTTCCCAGATGGGAAGAAATGGCATGCGCAATCTCATGGCTTTAGTTGCTACAGTGGTTAGTAATTACTAGTGGCGTTTATTTTCCATCTTGCCTTCGCAAGGAAGCTGATTCTTAAATTCAATATAATAATTACATTCTGCTGATTGTTTAATGATACCACATGTTTATGTCATAAATTTATTCGTGTTACAGGTTATGAGAACCGCCTTGAGTAATAGACTGGCAAAAGTGCAAGGGTTCTTGTTTCGAGCTGCTTTTCTACGGCGTGTACCGACTTTCTTACGCCTAATCATCGAAAATCTTCTCTTATGTTTTCTCCAGTCGACATTATTTTCCACTTCAAAATATTTGACAGGGGCCTTAGGTTTGCGGTTCAGAAAAATATTGACGGATCTCATACATGCTGATTATTTTGAGGTAAATTTACCTTTTCTTTTCCTTACAAACAAATCCATTGGAACATGTTTGTTTAATTCTCTTCATTTAATGATTGAGTTTATGCTAAATGCTTTCCTTGAGTAATGCTTCTTAAATTGGTATTTATCCATACATTTCTCCTATGATGACGTGTGCACCTTTTGGTTTCTATAACGATCCATATTCTCAGATTTTGTGGTTTCTGAGCACCATTCACTTTCCAAATTACTTCTGCCATTTTGAACAGTTTACTTTATGAGGATAGTCATCTGAATTTCTTTCATACATATTGGTGCACTCCAAATATGTACTGCGTTCATTTAAAGCCCCAAGGAAAATGTATTATCACATTTTCTTCAGTGAAATTCATGTAGTTTTGCATGCCAAATCATTATCAATGCACTGCTGGCCTCTCCAAATTTGCACTTTTCTACTCCTACAGGAAACAAACAGTATGGTTTTCCTAGTGTATAATGTCCTAAAGCATTATTTATTGGTCTGACCTGCAAACCAGGGGTTGATAATTAGACTTGGACCCAACTTATTCCTATTTTGGTTGGTGCTGCTCTAGGCTAGTTCTTGCCAAGAAGACTTTGACCCAAGATGTTATTGATCACTGGGTATGAATCACGTACAAGTTGGACGTTTGGAACCCTGCTGCAGTTTGATGTAAAATGCTTGCATCCTCTTAATGCAGCATGTTCAATTTTTCGTAAGGCTCACATTAGTTTTGTTAAATGTGATAATTTTTACTCATCAACAATTGTCTTCTGGTTGAGGTGTTTTCTGGTTGAGGTCGCAGTTCAGAACTTCTGGTAATCAAATTACCTGGCTATGTTTAGATTTATGATATAGCATGATGCATACTAGTGCTGGAGTGGATATGTCTGAGAGGGACCTGGATATCCCCATGTAGCTACTTGTAAGTAATATGATAAATATCATAAATGTCTAGAACTAAGAATTTTATCAAGTGTTGGATGTTTTAAGTATGGACTTCTTGGGTCTATAGCGGATCCATGGATTTGCTCTCATTTGAATTTTCAACTCATTACTAGTCCCTAGTTTTTTTCTGCTGGGTCACTGTGTGGACCTGATCAGCAGTATACTACCTGTAGATATTTATGTGTACAACTATTTGTGTATAATTACTATTTTGCATCTACCTATGAATATTTTAATGTGCCTACCTGAGATATGAGTAATGCAAACTCTGTTGGTTTGTTCCACTGCCTATGTCCGAGAAACAAAATTATCTTTGATGATTTATTCTACATAGATACAACTGCTTTAAAAAAAATTCTGTTGATAGTGACAAGTTACAGTGTAAGTACCATGGATGTCAGTAGAGAAAATAGCCAGCTTTGAACTACTTGAATTGAATTGACGGATGCTATACTATAATTTACGATTCTATGTTCTCAGTTCTACCCTCTGAGGATTTACATAGAATATGTAGAATAATGTATAGGAATTCAAGAAACTACCAGGGCCTTAATATTTAGCAATATTAGTATGAACTATATATTCCAGAAATATAGTTGCTGATAATATAACTAATTATCCAATATATTTTATCTATTACAATTATAACTAATAGGACTAAACAAGTTCTTACTGGATGTGCCTTTACACTAATCAAAGACTTTTTATGAATGTTCCTCTACATTATGCTTTTTGCATAAGTTATTTCTAGAATTTTATAATTTATACTAAAATCAGCTATGTGTTTACGTTTCACAATTCTATGTTATTGGCATGTGTGTTCTTGTCCGTTTATATAATTAAACAGTACCTATAGTGGTTATACTGTCATGCCTGATGCTCTATGCTATTTACCCTTTTAATTCTAAAATCTATTTGTATCTAAATCAAAGCTGTTTAAGTTTCTTGTTACATGCCATTGCATTTGTCAGAATGCTATTTCCTGTAGAAACAAAATAAAGGCCTTTGCTAAAAAACTTAATTCACATAAAGACATTTTTTTCCCTTTTCTTGTAGCAGAAAATAATATTGTCTTGAATATATTTTGCAGTCAGGCTGAGGAATGAAAACACTCATCACAAAATAAATTATAATTGAATTATGTGGAGCTCTTATTAGAGAGAAGTCTGGGATCTCAGTTTTGACGTTCACCTGCCTGTATGGCTGATATTATGTCCTCACTGGCTGACTCCCATTGCAAAAAAGAAAATGAAAGAACTAAACAAGAAAAAAGAGGAAAAACTGATGATCAAGAAAATTTGGCTTCTTGCATTGTTGAAAACATTTTCTGGAGGGCAAAGTGATGGTCTGGTCCATGAAAATGCTCTTTTCTTGCATAATTGAAAACATTTTCTCACAGGACAGGATGATGGTCTTTTTGGTCCATGAAAATGCTCTTTCTTTCATCTATTTTTCCTGATTTTTTTGGATAACAAAAGAAGTCAGTTCTTTATTAGTGCTGCATGGACAAATTTTTGACTTCTGCTTTTCTGCGAGCTCCCGGTATAGTGTCTTAGTTCTCGACTGCTAGTGATTCATGGATAGTGTTTCTATCACTATATTTTTATTATTGTTCTTGAACTTATTGATTTTTTAATTTGTTTCTACAATGATGCAGAATATGGCGTACTATAAAATATCACATGTAGATGACAGAATCACTAACCCAGAGCAGCGCATTGCGAGTGATATACCAAAATTTTGTTCAGAATTGAGTGATCTTGTACAGGAGGATCTCACTGCAGTCACAGATGGGCTGCTCTATACCTGGCGCCTCTGTTCTTATGCAAGTCCAAAATATGTGCTCTGGATACTGGTATAATGTGCCTTTCTTTTGCAAATAGTTTGGCTAGTTATTTTCAATGCAGTTCTGTTATTGATTCGGTTTCCTTAATGTGTTTTTTGGTCTTGTATCACAGCAAATGTAAGCATGCTTTATAGTCTTGTCCCTATAACACACCACCATTTCTGCACACTTATTGCATATAGCCATGAGTCAATTAGTAACTGCTTCATACTTTTCTATAACATATTCCCATAAAATGTTTTTGTATTAGAATAAAATGCTTATATTTTTCTTTTGTGGTGGTATTTTTTGTTATCTGTTATGATAAGGTCTACCTTCACAGCAGAACATTCTTGTTGCTTTCAGGCATATGTAATAGGGGCAGGGTCCGTGATTAGGAACTTCTCCCCTGCATTCGGGAAATTGATGTCCAAGGAGCAGCAGTTAGAAGGGGAATATCGGCAGCTTCACTCACGGCTAAGGACCCATGCTGAAAGTGTTGCATTTTATGGGGGAGAGAATAGAGAATCTTCCTACATCAAGAAGAAGTTCAAAACTCTTATTAGGCACTTGAATCTCGTTCTTCATGACCATTGGTGGTTTGGAATGATTCAAGATTTCTTATTGAAGTATCTCGGTGCCACAGTGGGAGTTGTCCTGATCATTGAACCATTTTTTGGTGGCAATCTACGATCTGATTCTTCAACAATAGGAAGAGCAGAGATGTTGAGCAATCTCCGTTATCATACAAGTGTTATAATTTCTCTTTTTCAGTCTCTTGGGACTCTCTCTATCAGCTCCAGACGGTTAAATAGACTCAGGTTATTACGTCATTTCTTGAATTGGACTGTCTAATTTCTTTAGCATATTGCTTATTTGAGCAATATTCGAGTGGATAACTGATCTTCTTGTTCTTACATATATTGTGTCAATATTTAGAGGTATACTTTTTAATATGCATCACATTACTGGTTTCAGCTTATTCGACTGCTGTGTTGTTTAAAGTGTTGCAAATATTTTTCCTTTTCATTTTAAAGTTTCCAGCAATATTAGGAAATCTATGTGATTTTAAGGCGGGTGGCACTATTATATTGAGTATGTGACTTGCTTTGCCACATAATTGCGCCTTAATCTATTCAAGCTAGGAGTTCCATAGACGACCATCCTCCTTATTTAGTATCTTTATTTATCTTCAGCATATAGATACAAATGCGTGCATGCACCTATACACTTGCATCATCTGCTCATGCACATGAATGTTGGTGGCACTTTATAGTTTTGTGTAAACAAGCTAAAAGTTTATTTGTTCCTATCAAACTACAATGATGAACCACCTCTTGGATAATCCATTCCATTCATCTTGATGTATACATCACAATGTACAGGGATAAAAGTATGTGCTTTGAAAATATCTACCTGTCCTGTTGATAAAACGTTATGTCTTAACGTGCTTTGAGTATCTCTTATCCATCCGTTCTTCCTAGTATTGCAAAATGTAAGGTTGTTTAACGTAGAAAGAAATCACCCATTTGGATTTCATAAAAGCTTTCAAAATGCATATATAAGAAGAATATGAACAAGGTGGGCCATTCATTTGAGTGACTCGTGTAGCTTGACAGGTGCCTGAGGTCTTACAAATCACTACCTTGATACAATGCATAAACTTTGCTGTCAGCTTTAATTGCATTAGTTCTCTCATACATATAACCACTGCAACTATTAGCATGTGATACAGTCTGCATACATCATCACTTAACTTTAGCAGAAAAGTCTGATCCCTAGTTTGCTTATTCTGATCTAGAACATTGTCACTGTTTTGATGTTCTGTATGACAATTTCTGATGCCAATCTTCTTTCCTGGAAATTTTCCAACTGAAATTTTCTTGTTTCAGTGGTTATGCTGACCGTATTCATGAGCTAATGCTTGTTTCAAGAGAATTATCTGAGGTGCATGAAAAAACATCAATTCAGAAGAACTCAAGCAGGAATTATATTAGTGAAGCTAATTATATCGAGTTTGCAGGTGTCAAGGTATTATAAATCTTTGAGAACATCGTTGATTTTATTTAAAATTTTTTAGCTTTGTTCGTGATTCCCTATTACTGCTTATAAATTTCTGCAGGTAGTAACACCGACAGAAAATGTATTAGTGGACAACTTGACTCTTAGGGTGGAATCTGGTTCTAACCTTTTGATCACCGGTAAGTTACAGAATTTTTTTTCTTTTTTTGTTATGTTGTATAGTTATGCAAGGTACTGAATCTTTTCTATTATATGGTCTTCATTTGAAATATACACCAGATTCCCTAGATTCTTCTAGCAATGTTCGTCTTTTAAATGAGAAATTTTAGAAGCGGTTCTGTTTTTGACATTTTATTTGTCTTAAATGGGATTGCTTGAGTTTACCGTTAAAGTGTTACCTTTTGAGATTTTTGCAAGAAAGGGAAACTTTTCAGAAGTAAATATAATAAGAAAAATTTTCATGCTTGAAATATTAACCATTACTACCTTCTTGCACTGGCATCTTAGTTTACAAGTCATTGCATACCGATTTTATTTTCTATTTTACTGTATGTTAGCTGTATATAATTACTTGGGTAGTAGTTGCTATTGTTTTCAATTAATTAGTGATATCTGTGGTTCTTGTTCAAATTATTGACATTTAAGAAATGGCTCTACATCTTTTTTTTGAGATGGAAGGAATCTAAAATAGAACCCTGTAGCTCTTTGCTTGAGTAGGTGTAAAAGTAAATCTGACATTAATCTGCGTCTGCACGTGCGCGCGCACACAAGATCCTCTCTGGAAGGGTTCATAAGCAGATCCTTCCTATTCAAATCCAATGATAGGCAAAGCAAATTAAATTTTATGGTTCAATCTGAAATATCTTATTTAGAGTTCTTAAAAGCAATCAAATCACCATGCATCAAATAGCCACCATAGATGGTTGAAATATAGCTAGTTGATTTGATATTCAGACTCATATTTATGGCATAAAACTGAAAATCCAAACTTTTGATCTTCTATATCTTTTAAAGCGTCTGCCCCCTATTTTTTGTTGGGATTCAAACTCTGCTTGATCTGAACTAAGATTTGAAATCTTCGTATTGTGGCTGATATATCGATATTGCCAATTTTGGAAGTTTGGTGGTTTTGGTTTCTCAATATCAAACTCTTTAGTAATTTTTAATACTGCTAAAGTTTAGACTGAATGCATGAAATCTTGTATCAGGATATAATTTGATGCATTATTAGTTTGCAAAATGATTTAACTGAATTAATAAGCTATTTTAGTATGCAAGTAGACAAATTAATTTTTTGATGATATGAAATTTAACAAATCTAAGTAACACTTATATAAAACTGTTTTCATTTATATTCGTTATCAAGAAATTTTTCTGTTTTAGGATTATTCATAGATTTTTAATCAACTTCTAATATCAAAACTTGATATTACATTATTTCAGCTTTATGCTTATCCATATGAAATAGTAGTAACTTGTTTGATTGTAATCGTCCTTTGATATTTTTTCGCACTTCTTTTGAATTATGTACTTTACAAGCATTTATGGTTAGTCATTTGTCAATTTTCCTCGATAATTGCTCTGTACAAAATTTTAATGACCTAATCATTGTTTTTAATTTGTTGTTCAATATAATTCATTACTTTTAGATTTTTTAAGTGATAGTTTTCTAGGTAATCCACTACTTTGCTGTTTCTTGTATTTGGCTTTTATCAGAGGTCATTTAAGTTGAATCCAACTTTAATTAATGCTTATTTTACTTTGGTGGAATAAGTGGTGTTTTGTTATCCATATACTATGCTTTATTTTCATATTATTTTATGATTTATATAACAATTAATAATGCCGCGCCGCCCGCGCCCCCTCCACCGCACCAAAGAACAATCATGTACCATCAAAATGTTTGATTGATATGTAGCATGCATGGAAATTTATTTTGGAAAACGCACTTTTGAATAGGCAACTGTTCCCATTTTGTTCAAGCATTTCTTTCTATTTAAAGCTTCTCTTATCTTTTTGTTACTTGTTCAGGACCTAATGGAAGCGGGAAAAGCTCCCTTTTCCGAGTTCTTGGAGGCCTCTGGCCATTGGTGTCTGGCCACATAGTGAAACCTGGGATTGGTTCTGATCTCAATAAGGAAATATTTTATGTGCCACAACGCCCATATACAGCTTTTGGAACACTCCGTGATCAGCTAATTTATCCTCTTACCGCAGATCAAGAGACTGAACCACTTACCCATGAAGGGATGGTTGAACTGTTGAAAAATGTAAGGCCATTCACAAATTTCTGTTACCTGAGCAACTCCCTATTTTTTCCCCATTGAGTCACATACACAGTTTGTTTCTTCTTTTCTTTGAGCCATATACAGTGTAAGTTGCCTGCATGAAGTAAGAGGTTACTATCCATTTCAATTGTCAGGTTGACCTTGAGTACTTGCTGGAACGTTATCCGTTGGATAAGGAAATAAACTGGGGTGATGAACTTTCTCTGGGCGAGCAACAGAGGCTGGGAATGGCCAGGCTATTTTATCATAAGCCTAAGTTTGCTATTTTGGATGAGTGTACAAGTGCTGTTACAACTGATATGGAGGAAAGGTTCTGTTCTAAGGTTCGGGCAATGGGCACATCATGCATTACTATATCACACCGCCCTGCATTAGTTGCATTTCATGACATGGTTTTGTCATTAGATGGAGAAGGAGGATGGAGTGTTCAGTCTAAGAGGTTAAGATCAATGGTTGTTTGTTTCTTTCAGTTCTATTTGAATCACTAGTTAATCATGGACATTTCAAGTTGTTATGAATTTTGCAGGGATTATTTACAATATCCCAGTGAAAGGGATCCTAATTTGTTAAAATCATCAGAAACTGATCGTCAAAGTGATGCTCTAGCTGTTCAGAGAGCTTTTACTGCTGCCGGAAAGGTTGGAGCTTTTATATGTTCACAGTCCAAGGCATGTTTTATGTCGTTATATTCTGCATAATTTATTTGTCTTTTGTTAATGTCCTCAATCTTGCAGATAAATACCTTTCCTAATTCCAAAGAGCTTTCTTATTCAACGGAGCTGATAGCATCATCTCCTATCCTAGAGCACAAAGTTTCTTTGCCCATTGTTCCACAACTTAAAAATACTCCAAGGGCATTGCCTTTAAGAGTTTCTGCAATGTTTAAAGTGCTGGTAAGCATTTAAAACCTGCAGGGTTCATTCTACTTTAGGTTGACATCCTTGATGATTACTTGAGTCCTCGATCTCTTTTAGCTGTATGTACTTTTGTTGAGGAGATGTCCTGTTTATTTCAAGTAAATATTGAAAATTGACATTCTCAGTTTATTTTAACAATCTGATTACCATTTTCTTAAAAGATGATTTGGGGCCCAGAAGGGAATTTTTTACTTGCATAAGAATGAGCTTTTTTGCTTTGTTCTCTTATGTTGTCTGCTTCAAATCTAGGTGCCGAGGCTGCTAGATAAACAGGGTGCACAGTTGTTTTCAGTTGCCTTACTTGTAGTATCCAGGACATGGATCTCAGATCGCATAGCTTCTTTGAATGGTATGCTTAGAATTCGTTACAGAAAAATTGGTGGCAGATGCTTCACATTTTTTCTTATGTTTTACAGGTACCAGCGTTAAATATGTTTTGGAACAAGATAAGGCTGCATTTGTTAGATTAACGGGTATAAGTGTTCTTCAAAGTGCTGCAAACTCCATTGTTGCACCTTCTCTGAGGTATGGTGGTCATTTATCGAGGAGTTAACTAGGCAGTAAAATGTTTAACTAGACTGTAGTTTGGGTACCTTTATTGGAGTATAGCTTATTGATGCAATTTTATCAGAAGTAAAACTGGTGTTATCTTTTCACAAGTCATTTGGTTTCTCTCCTTTTTATGTGTGCCTTGGTTTTTGAGATGTACAAGTGTTGCAAGATTTATCCACACATAGATGTGTATTTTCGTGTATTCAGGTACTGCCAATTGGCTAATGTTATGCAAAATATAGTTGATATATTGCTTTAGCGCTGCCTTTATAAAATGAGTTTATGTGTATATGTAGTTTAACTTTAAACAACAACAAAGCCTTTATCCCAAAATTTTGGAGTTGGCTACACGAATCTTATTCTTCCATTCTGTTTTGTTAAATGTTATCTTCTCCATTAAGCTAACCATTAAAATAAACTTCTTAATTGCTTCCAACCAAGTTAACCGTTAATCTTAACCTCTAGTCCTTTCCCCATTAAATATAATCTTCTGACTTCTCTTAACTGGTGCATTTAGTTGCATTCATTACACATGGACAAACCATCTCAATTGATTCTCTCCTTTTATCAGGAGCAACCTTGAACTCATTTTGTATCCTGTATCTTAGTGTGTATTCACTTCAGTTAGACTCATTTCTCCGCACATGCCATCTCTTAATTGCTGAACATAACCATATGATATTGTTAGTATATAGTTGTCCTGTAGGTATTCTAATATGCTGCACTGAAACGGGTACGGTGCGATTATGGGCGTGGGTACGGATGTGGGTATTGGACACACCAAATTTGTAAAAGACAGGGTATTGGGACATGGCTCATTTTCAAAGTGGATACTCAAATGACCTTTAAAATCCTAGTTTTCACTGGGTGTGGGCTGTAACAAACCCAATCCATGCCCACAAGTTTCAAGAAGTGGATGGGAAGCATAGGATATACATCCAAGGAGTATGACAAGTGTTTTAAACTATAACATGTATTATATAATAGAGTGCATGTGTGAATAAATGTATGCATATATTCAAGGATTGTTCGTGTCCCGTATGTGTTGGGATTCATGATGGAAGTACCCATGTAAATACATATTCTATGATCACATAGAACTCTAGAGGCACTCCATTTTAAGCATGCAGATTAGTTCTATAGAGTACATCATTCTTGATTTTACCGTCTTGATGATTGACTGATATTAAATAGTGAAGGTGTACCAAAGGTGTACTCGAAGGTATTTCTTGAACGTCAATATGTGCTATATTTTAAAAACAGTGGCTGCTGCCTGCTTATATCATGCAGACAAGCAATCCCAGAAGTTGCGAATGTTCTGCATACTTTCAATTCAGTGTTACTTCGTATCAGAAATGTCTTGTGTATTAAGTTTACGTGTTTGTTTGTGCGATCTTTATATTTAGTTGTTGTAGCAAAATATATAATTGCATTCTTGTTGGATTCTTGAATCATAGTTTATACTTGTCCTCCTGGCTTCTGGTGCAACATGTTTTTAGGACCCTTTAAGAATATGTACTCCATGTGATGCATGATGTGCTCTAGGATGCTCTCGTGACATAGATGTGATCTCTATGAACCCTGAACCAACAAGTTTTTCAGAGTTGTCCCGAACTGGTGGCATCTGATGATATCCCGAACATTTTTGACTGACACATTGGCTCAAGAGATATTAGATCTCTCACTGGTAGCTTTTTGAAGAATACTTTGTGATTGCAGATAATGGTTTTAAAATCATAATTTTTTTTAAAACTTAAAACCATACCTCACAGATCAGGCTTGGAAGTAATAGATTTTTGAAGAATATTCTATGATTGCATTAGTTTTTTGTGTCCACAGCAAATATCCCTAACCCTACCTAACGTGTCACCTTAATTGTATACTATGCCCTAATGCTAATCACAACTCTACTCCAACCCTAACCCAGCTGAAAAACTGCTAGTCTTTACCCTTAACTATTTTCAAACTCAAAACACAAAGGACAAAGCTTGAACCTATTTAACTGTAACACTAACCGTCGAACGGAACTCCAGTCCTATCCCTGTTTCACCACAGAGCTGATCTGCACACATAAGTTTCTTAAGGAACTTACATGGTTAATATATGCCTGCGCTCTTTTGCTCATTCTAATTGCAAAGTCGTGTAAATAAAATTTGGAATTATTAGTTCATTTATTCAGTGAAGCCCAATATATCCCTTGGTTTATTTACAGGTCTTTGACATCAAGGCTCGCACTTGGGTGGCGAATTCGTTTGACTCATCATCTACTTGAGAATTATTTGAAAAATAATTCTTTTTATAAGGTATACACTGGATTTTCTTATCTACTTGTGCATCATGAAGTTCATTCAGAACCATTCTATACTAGCATGAATTACTTGCTTCACTATTCTTTCACTTAAGGCATGCTATTCTCTCGCTCTATCTCATCTCTCTATGTGTGTGTACACACGCGCGTGCGCGTGCACACACATATATTAGAAAAATAAGTATCCTTGGTGCCAAGGACAAAATTGGTACTTAGTAATAAGGTGACCGGTTCTCATCCACACATTTAAAGGTGCCTCATATGAAAATGGTCCCCACTTGATTACTCACCTAGTAGATGATGATTACTCACCTAGTAGATGAGTGGATGAGAAGTGACCACCTCTTTACCAAGAACAAAATTTAGTTATTAGCATGAAGGATACATATATTCCTCTATCTATATATGTGTTTGTATAGAGAGAGTAAAACTAGAATGAAATTAAGTAGATTGAAGCTCTTATCCACCAACTTATTATTCCTTAATTTTGCTTTGATATTTTTGCTGCGCATCAATATTATTTCTGAGATGCGTGCCTTGACGTATAGCACATTCTAGTATGAATCTCAAAACAAAATCAGTAGTTAAGAAAATTGGTAATGAAGTGGCTACTTCTCATCCACTCATCTAAACATGCGTAATCAAATGGAGAACATTTTTAAGTGGGCAATTTTAAATGTGTACGTACATATTTCTAAGGAGTCACCTTAGATTAAACCTAAGGATGAACCTCTCAATGCACGGATTAAGCTATTCTAATAGACGATCCATTCTATACATCATGATCAAAATGTCTCAAAACATCTATAAAATAAAAATCATGATGTTTCAACACTTCTAATACAATTTTCATTGTCTATTTAGTTGTACTATTGTAAAACTGTTAATTTTACAATTGCTTGATGCATGAGTAACTATAACTCAATACTTGCCTAATTTTTTTACTTATATACCGTCCAAAACATATAGATTGAAAAAATTGGTTGTATATAACGTAGTTTTGAAGGTGCATCTTTAGATTGAATCTAAGATGACTTATTAGTATTATATATATATATATGAGAATACTGGATATGAGCTGGTAGCTCATTTTGCAAAATGAGCTGCTACCTCATTGCCATGTGAGCCTCGCCTGATGTGACTAGCAGGGGAACTCACATGGCATTGAGCTGATAGCCCATTTTACAAAATAGGTTGTTAACTCATATTAACTACATATATATATATAATTATATATAAAGTATATAATTAGAGAGAGAGAGAGAGAGAGATAATAGTATCCCTTGATAAGCGAGCGGGGATTCATCCCTTGACAAGGAGGGATATCAATCCCACCATGTGAAATCTCTCTCTACTTTATTCTGCTCTCTCCTTCACATGGTGAGGATTCTGCACATCATTATCAAGTGAGAAAAATCCCTACCTCGTCAAGGATACCCATTATTTTATATATATATATATATATATATATGATTGGTATTTCAAATGACGATACGTCTCCATTTATCATAATCTAGTAACCCTTAAAACATCTATAAAATAAAATCACTGATGTTGTGAATATTTCTATACACATATTTTTCATTATTCTTTAGTTTATATTGTTGGGTAAAACCGGATAAATTTTACTAGTCACTTGCATGCATGTAGGTAACTCCAACCAATATTGTCTAATTTTTTGTTTACATGCCATCCAATCATATAAGATCAAACATAAACACGAGGTGGATCCAGTATAATTGATTGCGTATACTCTAGTTTGAAGTGCAATCCTTACGAGTCAATCGTACCCATGTGGCTTCATTAGAATCATATTTCATATATATATATATATTATATATATAAATATATATTATATAAATATAAATACCTAATAGAGAGAGAGAGAGAGAGAGAGAGAGAGAGAGAGAGAAGAGAATACCGGTATATGGAGCGGACAACACATTTGAGAAAATGTTGCCAAGGCCTATTCCCATTATATATTAACACACTTCATTAGTGGAAATGAACTGATTAGTGGTTAGGTTTCACAGCTGCTCTGTTATGACTTGGATGGTGTGTTTGGAGATGACTAAGGAAGGAAGGGAAGGGAGATTTTTCTTCCTTCTCTTCTCGCTTTTTACCCCTAATTTAGGGGGTAAGTTTTTTCTCCTCATTCTCCTTCTCTTATCCTTCTAAAGGTGGCTGGGTTGTTTGTAACTTAGAGTTGCAATGCAAGTGTCACTTTGCATGCAACTGAGAACGTTGCAACTTTCTACATGCACTACAGTTGCAATTGTTTGGTTTAAAATTTAAATTTTGATAACTATAGTTGCAACTGTTTGATTATGCTTATTACTTAATCATATGCAACTCATAATATTTTTAAAAAATAATGATTTTTAAAAAAAATAATATATTTTTAAAAATTAATAATTTTTAAAAATAATTATTTTTAAAAAATAATATATTTTAAAATAAATATTTAAAAAAAATAATATATTTAAAAATAATTATATTTTTAATAAATAATATATTTTAAAAGTATATAAATATTTTTAAAATAATATAATATATCATTAAAATATATATTATTTTTAGAAATTATATATTTAAAAAATACATTATTCAAAAACATATTTTACTTTAAAAATATATTGTTAAAAATATTATTTTAAATAATTATTTTTAGAAAATTATATTATTTTAAATATATTATTCAATATAAAATTTATATTATTTTAAATATATATTAATAAAATTATATTATTTTAAATATATACTTATTAAAAAAATATATATTCAAACATAATTATTCAATAAATATATTATTTACTTATATATTATTAAATATATATATATTATTTTAAAAAATATTTATTTTATAGAAATATATTATTTTTAAAATATATTAATTTTTAGAAAAATTATATAATATTATTTTAAAAAATTATAGATTCTTTTAAATAAATATTATTCTTTTAGAATATATTAATTTTAAATATATTATTAATAAAATATATATTCCAAAAAATATATTATTTAGAAAAATCATAGTATCCTAGAAATTTTATTTTTCAAAAATATATTATTTACGAAAAAAAAAGTTATTCAAAATATATTATTTTAAATATATTATTTTTTAAAAATATTATTTTAAAAAATAATATATATTTTAAAGATAATATAATTACTTTTAAACTAACATATTTATTTGAAGAAATTATATAATAATAATTTTTAAACAGATTAATGTGTTTTTTTAAAAAGCGTTTTTGAAGAAATTATTATAAATAAGATTATTTAACAGATTATTTAACCACCTTTGTAATGATTTATTTTGAAATAATTAATAATGTTTTGATTTAATAAATTAGTCAGTGCAACTAAGTTGCATCACTATGACTTGCGGCCATTTTTTGACGTAAGTCATATTCAGAACTAAATGGTTGTTTTGGCAACTGTGGTTGCAATGCAACTGTGAGATTGCATAAAACAGAACAAATGCTACTAGTCAATTGGACCTAGTTGGCATCAACTGGAGTTGGAATACCACTCCAGTTTGCAGCCTACAACCCCTAAATGGAAACTCCCAAACAAAAGTAACCAAAATTTCTTCCCCCCCTTCTTTATCCTCCATACCAAAACAAGGCTAGAAGTGTCAACATCATCACCACTAATTTATCTCTAGGTAGGCTCAAGTACAAATGAGTTGTCAGCTCATACCCATGCATGGGTGGCTTGTGGACTGTGCGGTGCGGGTGGGAGTGAGTAAGGGGATCGTCCAACATGGTGCGGATCGTTCCTATGCACACACATCAAAGAATATGATAATCATACAAATAGGTGTTACCTCAGGAACTATCTTGTTCTTCTTATATTGAAAGATAATATAGATGAAAGTGGACACAAAATGACGTTATTATCCATGAACCAAAGGATCTCATCTATACAATTACCTATTGCTACTGCTTGATAAATGTGTAAGATTCTTTAAAATTTCCTTCAACTTACAATAAAAAGTTAAAATATACTTCAAGGATGGTAATCACGACCATTGAGTGGATAACACGTTTATCACCCCTATAGCTTTACATGAGATGCTAAAGAAAATTTCCTTCCTCGGTAAAATCTCATTTTAAATGGAAATGATCATGTCACATTGAAATTATACTAACTGTTTGATTCACTATCAATATTATATCTGGAAACAAAACGTTACATAAGCATTTTCCACAGTTTATACCCTTGCTTTTAAAAAGTGATCTTTTATTAAATGCTTTTATATTTCCCCACTATTTTGGCCACTAGGTCCAAATGGAAATTCTCATACTTTTTATCATATCATGTAGTGCATGAGGCAAAAGATAGCATTTTGAGCTATTATGTAGGTTCTTTTTGTTCCATGTTAGAACTTATCAAGTTATAACCATTTGATGGATGAGCCTAGAAGTCTTCAAGCCAAATATTTTATTATCAATATACATTCAAGCCAGGTGTAGATCAAGATGAATGGCGTGGATCATCCATTAGGAAGAAAAGAGTTCTAAATATATTAAGAAATTTTAGATAAATTGGCACCTTTCATCTTAATCTAAAAATGCATAATGAAAAAATGAAGTTTTTGGGAAGCATTTGTACCCATATGCTTCAAAATGATGTCTCTTTCTACAATTGGAATGGCATCTCTAATCATATCCTAATTTGAATATATTGACAATATTATACCCTAATCCTAATTCATATCCTAATTTGAATGTATTGACAAGATGAACAAAAGGTCAGCTATTTGGTTTGTTACCATTGTATTAAATATCCATTAATAGGCTGATATAGTCGGTCCAATATATCCTTTTATAAACTTTGCTGCAAACGATATGGTCTAGAATAATTCTTTGCATTTTTTTGCATATTTGGGCGATATATTCCTCCGGGGCCGATATATCAGTCGATATGTTGGCCGATATATCCTTTTATATAGCTTGTTGCAAAAAAAATTAGTTTTGTAAAAAAAAT